GAGAGAGAGAGAGAGAGAGAGAGCACATTGAATAGACCATTATCAAAGTATCCAATAAGCTATGGCAGCCGGGGTAGATCAAAACGCTGGTGCAAAACAAAAGCAACATGCAACACAAAATCAAAGCTTCGCCTTGAGCCCAACAGGGGCATGGCCCTGCTTCTGCCTACGCACAAAGTACTCCCTGATCCGGTCCCGCGCCACGTCGACGGCGGCCGGGTCCTCGACCGTGGACGGCACGGCCACGTCCTTGTCGAACTCGCCCGCGGCCGCGTTCTCGAGCAGGTCGCGCACAACGCGGCGGAGCGTCTTGCCCGACCGCGTCTTGGGGATCAGCCCCTTGCCCCGGATCAGGCCGCCCAGGGTGGCGATGCCGCCGATCTGGCCCCGCACCAGCTGCTGGATCTCGGCGAGCAGTCGCTCGTCGTCGCCGTCGCCGTCGCTGTCGTCGCTGGTGGTGACGAGAGCAAAGGGCAGCTGGCCCTTGAGCGCGTCCGGGATCCCGACCACGCACGCCTCGGTCACGAGCGGGTGGCTGGTCACGGCCTGCTCGAGGGTGCCGGTGCTCAGGCGGTGGGCTGCGACGTTGATGATGTCGTCTTTGGGGTAGGCACGTTAGTTAGCTTTTGAACTACATGGATTTGGTGGGCGAAGATACAGCAGAGACGAAAAGGAAAAGCAACACACATACCCGTCCTACTCATGATATGAACGTAACCATGCTCATCGATAACCCCCGCATCGCCCGTGTCGAGCCAGCGGCCGCCGAAGCGCTTCATGTAGCCCCTGTAAAACCGCTCCTCGTCGTCCCACAGCGTGCGGAAGGCGGTCGGGGCCAGGGGCGTGGCGAAGACGATGTTGCCCATGGTGCCCGGCGGCAGCTCGCGGCCGTCGTCGTCGACGACGCGCACGTCGAACCCGGGCATGGGCTTGCCGGCGCTGCCCGGCCGCACCTCGAGCGGCGGGTGGCGGCGCTCCTGGGTGGCGCCCTCCTTGCGGTGCTTGCCCGCGTGCGGCACCAGCGCGATGCCCGAGATCGGGGACCCCGTCTCGCTCGACCACCAGTTGTCGATGACGAGGGCGTCTTTGGACGCGTACCGCTTTAGTAGGTCTTGGTACTGTTTGGTTACGTTGCAATGGCTGGTCAGCACGGGGGAGAGAAAAGAAACAGGCCGAGACGTGTGTGTCTCTGAGCGGCGCCATACCAGAGATATAATCGCAGGCTCCGACCTCTCTCCAGCCAGAAACAGCGCCCTGAGCGTCTTGAGGCCGCCGCGCTCCCCGACGGCGGTGAAGAACTTGTTCTCCGGGTCGGCCTTGCGGATAGCCCTGAGCGCGGTCGGGGCCGTAAAGAGCGAGTTGACCTTGTACTCCTCCACCATGCGCCAAAAGGCCCCAGCGTCGGGCGTGCCGACGGGCTTGCCCTCGTAGAGCACCGAGGCCGCGCCCGTCAGGAGGGGACCGTACAAAGTATAACTGTGCGAGACGACCCAGCCGATGTCACTAAAGCAGGCCATCTATACATGGTTAAGGTGATGATGGTACAATGGTCAGTGAAGCCCCCCTTCATAAAGCGGCCCTCTCAGACGGACACCAACATACCACGTCTCCCGGACCGTGTATGCCGAAAAGATAACTTATAGACAGGTGCAGCCCGACCGCGTGCCCGGCGGCGTCTCGCACGACGCCCTTTGGGGAATCGGTGGTTCCGCTCGTGTAGATGATGTAGACGCCCTCGCTGCTCCCGACGGGCACGCACTCGGCGGGCGGCAGGCCCCTGGCGCGCGCGGAGCTGACGAGCTTGTTCCACACCCGCTCCCCCATGTCCCGCCGCACGGGCTCCCAGCGCAGCTGCTCGCGCTGCCAGACCAGGGTGCGGGGCGGCTTCCAGGCCGAGGCGGCAACCGCCTCGGTCACGAGGTCGCGGTAGGGGATGGGCGGCTTGCTGCCGTCGATGCCGCACGAGGCCGTCAGCACCACGGCCGGGCGCGACGCCTCGATGCGCTGGGCCAGGGCGGCGGGCGCGAAGCCGCCAAAGACGACGGCGTGCACGGCGCCCAGCCGGTTGGCGGCCAGGATGCCGATGATGGCGGCGGGGATCATGGGCATGTAGACGAGCACCACGTCGCCGCGCCCCACGCCCTCGTCGCGCAGCACGGCGGCCAGCAGGGACACCTCGTCGAGCAGCTCGGCGTACGTGTAGGTGCGCTTCGCGCCCGTGACGGGGCTGTCGTAGATGATGGCCGGGTGGTGGCCGTGGCCGGCGAGCACGTGGCGGTCGACGCAGTTGTAGCACGTCGAGATCTCTCCGCCGGGGAACCACTCCCAGTGGTCGTGCGTCACGCCGCTCTTGGTCAGCGTCTTGGGCATGCGCGCCAGCACCGCGTCGGGCTGCTTGTGCCAGTGCAGGTGCTCGGCCTGGTGGCCCCAGAAGGCCTCGGGGTCCTCGAGCGAGTGCGCGAGGACCTCGTCCTGCGGGTGGACGGGGCGGTTCATGGTGGTGCCGCTGGTGCTATGAAAAAGCTTCCTGGTGTGTCTCGGTGGGGTGGTGGTGGTGGTGGTCTGCCGTCTCCCTTTGTCGGCCGTGCTGCCGAGGGCTACGTGTCGATGCTCTCTACCCAAACAGAACAGCGACGAGGGCAGCCCACGGGCTATTTGTACTGGAGCCCGCAACGAAAGCCGCAGCCCGGCGGCCGCGCGGATCACCGTCGGCGGCAAGCAGAGAAGCCTGGCCGCCGACGCGGCAGATGCGGGCATCCGGCAGGGTGAAGGGAATGGCGGTGTCTCATGCGGGAAGCCTATACCGTGTATGGGTGTGTGCAAAGGTGCTGTGGGTTTCTACTATGCGTCAGGGGGGATGGCAAGGCAAGACAAGCTACGCCGCGGGCCGGTCCCTTGTGGCAGGCAGGCAGGCACCCCTCGACCAGTCCTAGTCCTCCTGTCCGTGTGTGCGATCCCTCGGCTATCTAGACTTGAGGAACTCCTGGCTGGCCCTGCGCCGCCCGGCCACATAAAGGCTGCTGCTGCGGCGTCGAGTGTGTGCGGCTGACCTGTGCGCTTTGCTGTGACGTCCTTCGTCCCCATCCCTCGGCAGCTTCCCCGCATTCCGTTACCCCGGGCGCGCCCACCCCCCAAAAATGCCGAGCTGTGGCGACCAATCCATGAGCTGCTGGTACGCCTTGGCTGCTGCCAGAAAGCTTGCGCCAACCAGGTGAGGATTGGCCTCGGTGCTGGCAGAAATTGGAAGCGCAGCAGTCTAGAAAAAATCCCCAGAGAGGGGTAATTGGAATGAATCGAGTATCAGAGCTTCAGCGATAGCAGCTGGAATGAAGACAGAATTCCATTTAGACTGTGTTCAATATCCGATATGAATAGTCTATATCGGATACGGTACTAGCATTGCTGATGTGATAAAGGTGATTCTAACAACAAGGCGCCAGAAACGGCTTTTGTTGCTATCAATAAGTCACAGCCAGCGTCTTGTTGCACACAGCCGTGCATCTCGGTCCCAAGCAAGAGATGGCTCCACCTCGCTGCTTCGTCCTTCTTCTACCTTATCCTCTCCTGCTCTTGTATCTTATCTATGCTGCAGGCAGATATGATGTGCCAAGTTCCTGCTCCTAGGCGAGCATGCGCGTCGCACCGGCTGAATCACGCACGCTGCCTTGCCGCCGACAAGACAGGGAAAGGAGGGTGACACACACACACTCACACACGCAGTGACGAGACCCGTTTTCCTGTTCGGATTGTGCAAATCTCGGTTCCTGCATTAGCGCGCGCGATAAGGTCAATCACAGTTACGCTCTGGCCGCGTCGACCTCCCATGTTATCAGCCGAAGGGAAAAGAAAGCTGGGATGGACGTGACGGGGGACGGCCGCTGAAAGTTTGTGGACGCGCAAGCTGACGGTGGGTGAGGGAGCGAGTCAATCCGCTTCATCTCGGCCACGTCCTTCACCATCCTGTGCGTGTGAGTGAGCTTGGATGAAGCCCGCTTATGGCGATGTTCACGCACAAAACAATACTGGACGAAATTATGGGCAATTTCGTATTCAGCACGATATGTCTTGATTCTACATCATGCACAAGAGAATAGAGAAGGCCCGAGGCCAGAGGATTGAGTGCCGGGTCAAAAATGATCCCTAGCAGCGTTTTTGCTTTGCTCTTAAAAGCTACGTATAGGAGAGCGCGCAGAAACGCTGGTTGGAGAGACTCCTTGACAGAGACCAAAAAACACCCGGCAGAGGTCATGTGGAAAACCCCAAGAGAAATCCCAAGCCGTGCTCGTCAACACCAGTCATATGTACAAAGACAGTGTATACAGGAAGTAGAGTGAATACAGGCGGAGCACGAGGATGGGAAGACAAACAAGGTCTTGTTATTTGACGATTGGATGGCGGCGGTGAGAATGGTTCAAGGAGGACAAAAAGTGTTGCTGTATTGTGATTGACGCTTGGAAGCAACATCGGCTTTGTTATCCTGCCTCTTGAACGTTTGCTGTTGGGAGATTCCCAGGGTTCCATATTACCGCACACACGCGAACACGAAGGATCCCTCCGAGTCTGGAATATGGGCTTTGGCAGAAACACCCGCGAGAGAAAAAGTGAGAAAACCCCAGTCATTAAAGGCTGATTTCCACCAAAAAAGAAAACCATTACCGCAGAATTGCTGCATGCGCGTGGTCGTGATGTGCGGGAGAAAGGGCATAACTCCATGGTGCGATGCAGAAAACAAGATCCCCCGATGTTCCCCAAGCTCTTTTTCTTCAACTCGTCATCGTCATTATAAATCGCCAGATTTCGTCGTCCCGATTGGTGGATATTAGGGCGAGAGCATAGTCGCCAGTGGGTGGGTGATGGTCGGTCAGGAAGAGACGTTGGCTATCCGAACAAGGTCGAGAATTGGGCGATTTACAGAGCGATGGCGGCGACGGCAGCCAGCAGGGCGGCGCCCGAGAGGGCGGCCTTGCCGGCGCCAGCAGCGACCGGGGGGGTGGTCGGCTTGGGGGGGATGATGGAGCCGGTACCGACGGGGGTGGTGACAGCCGGGGGAGGCGCGACGGGCGAGGTCTGGTTGCAGGTCTTGCACTCGACAATCTTGGAGGTGATGACGGGCTTGGAGACGGTGCAGGGGCAGTCCGTGATGGTCAGGGTGGTGGCCTTGGTGATGGTGTAGGTCTTGCCACCGTGGGTGATCTGAGTGGGCTCAGGGCAGTAGGTGGTCAGGGCGGTGACGACCTCGGTGGTGTAGGTGACATTGCTGTAGCCAGCAGACACACCGGCAACGGCGGCGGCGACAACGGCGGCGGCGGAGAACTTCATTTTGACTGAGTTGGTCGGGTATTAGGAAGACTCTAAAGAGCAAGAGGGCTTCGGTTGCTTGGTTATTAGGTTTGTAACGAGTGAAATTGACTGAAAAGTCAGGGTAGTATTAGGTTCGAATGAACGTGTGTGGGTGAGGAAGGAAGGGGAGAAAGAACATGAGAAACGAAGGGGACGCAAATTCTTATATACAACTGGGACGGCCTTCCATCTCCCGCATACGGTGGGCGGGCTGCCCTCTCTCTCGCCCGCTGGCTGGCGGGCCTCCCGTGTTGGTCTGGATGGACCGGGGGGGCAGCATCCAGCGCGAGTCCAGATGGGATGCATCGCTTAGCCGTTGCGAAAGGGGGCGAGCCGGACAGGGGTTCGACTGTGGCTAGCAGGGGGGGGCACACGAGGAGAGCAGACTCGCCAGCCCATGTCCATGATAGGCGCCACCAAACCCACTCCGGCCGTCCAGCGCCGACGTTACCTCGCTGACGGGGGCGGAGGAGGGAGCAGGAGCCCATTTCCCCCGACCTGGCAAAAGATGGAGCTATGTTATTTCACCAAGCGGACAAATCAGAGGCGAGGCCGTCCCGAAGAGGAGACGAAAAGGGGTGTGCGGGTTATCCGCAGAGATTGTTGGACGGAAAAGGGGTGGGGTGGACCCCTTGCTGGCGCCCAGGTCCACCGTCAATTCAACCAAGAGAAGAAAACAAGCCGGGCCGCGGCTGGCTGTGCTGGGCAGGAGCTTGCCTCTTGTTGGCCCTATCGAATGGAGAGGAAATTACGCCGGCACAGCGGGAAGTCCGTCTCCAACACGGTCTATCTCCGGGCTGTTGTTGTGTTGTTGTTGTTGTTGTTGTTGTTTTTTTGCTGTTGTGCTTGCTGTTGCGACTGCGGAGGCCTACTCTTCCCTCCCACTGGTCTCGTTCTGTTCGGCTGTTCCACCTGCCCGGCCCTGCGAGTTGTGCACATTCAAGGGGCATTTACATAACACTATGGAGCCGGACGAGACTCGGAAGCTGTCAGAGAATTTTGCCATGACAAGCCTGGGTCAAAAGAGCGACGACAAACACGTCGGCTCAGCAGGAAGAAACAACTTTGACATGGGAGCCGTCAGGTTAGCGTCAAACCCTCCCTGCAGATACGGATGTAGAGCTGGCTTGTTCAGGAAGGCCAGTCAGCCGTGCCAGCATGTTGCGAGGTTGGTCCGACAGTCGGTGTGAGCATTTGAGGATGCAGCAGCAACAACAGGAGAAGCCACCGACAGCCACATCCCCGAAGACCGGTAGCGCTGGACGCTGCTGGCGGCCCACACCCTCTTGTCGTCGGTGGAAGGCGGTAGACGGATTGCCCAGGCGGCAACACGTAGCGGCCGTGTTCTGCAGGTACCAGACTCTCACCGTCGGTAGGGTCGTGTCAAGCCTGGGGCTCGCGCTCACTGCACCTCCATCTCCTAGCCTCAGTGGGGCCACAGCGGAAATGAGCCCATGCGGTAATCAATGAATGAAAATACAGACACTGTACCGACAAACCGTCCTCAACCGTGCGCTGAGGTCATCCGTCCGTAATGGCAGCCAGTTGGCACCAAAAAAAGAACAGGAAGGGGGAAACTGCCCGAGCCCAGACATCATCATCTCTCGAAGCCTCAGGGGCAGGGGGCACCACGAGCCGGGTGGGAATTACGGAGGAAAAAAAAAGAAGGGGAAAATTGTCTCATCCCGGGGAGCAATACAGAGAGAGAGACGTTTCCAGCCCCGTATGTCACCCTGTTCAGGCCTGTCAACCGCGATGGGCCGACACATCCTTGCTGGCCCTTGCTGGCTGGGCTCTCTGATTTTAGCAGGCAATCAAGCGAGGCTGTCTGGCCGGCTACTCACTGGCTGCGTCTGGTTGATGGTGGCTCCTTCCCCCAACCATCACCGCCACTTTGAGATCAAGGCGAGAAGGGAGATGTTGTGGGCCGGCTCAGGGGGGGCAGGAGCGCCATCGAGTGGGCCTGACGGGTTGCCCATTGGCCCGGCCTTCAAATGAGCGTCCGGAAATGGTCAAGTCGCCAACGCCACTCTCTCCATCAGAATATCGATGACTTCTCCATGAGTCAGCTGTTGAGAGACAGCGATGGCTTGAGGGTTTTTTTTTTTTCTTGGACACGACCGACCTGGCCGATGCTGCGCTGCCTGCACCGCCTTTTGGGGTGTCATTGGAATTCCTCGGAATCACAAACAGGTCTTTCCTGACTTGCCCCGAGGCTGGGCGAAGTGTGCAAAGAAGTCCAAGGCTTCTGCGCGATTCGCGGATGCCTTGCTGGGACAGGCTACTCCAGACCTGAGTTTGGGTGCGCTCCGCATCCCGCCCCCTTTCCCCTACCCAGAACCTCCACCCTTGAGTCCGTGTTCACATGCCACATCGACGCTGTGTTGGCCTTCTTTTTTCTTCTCCGCAACGGCCCGCGGGTTCGGTCGATGGGCTTGGCGATTTGGCCCGTGAGAGCCGCGAGGAAGATGCGAAAGAGGCGGTTTGGAGGATCCTACATCGCCGATCCGCGATGCCCTATCGCGTACTGCGTGCCTATGTCTGTGATGGACAGCCCCCGGGTCCCGTCGAAAATGGCAGGCGACAAGAGGGCGAGAGATGAGGGCTCGTATCCTGCATCCGGCCCAATTTCGCCAGCCTTGGAAGGAAACCTGATGTCCCTTGACTAAAATCAGGCAGGGGGCGGAATCGCTGGGAAAAGATTTCGTGGATGCATGGCACCTTCTAGGGAGGGGGAGGGTCGTTTTCCAATCGGAGAAGACGGCGGTCATCCGCCCGCCCGCCCTTGGCCGAGCCAGCCTAGACCAGACCCCCCGACCTCTTGCTGAGATTAAACATTGCCTCTTGCTTTTTTTTGCGCAATTTCCACATGCATCGACCTGACATGAGCCGGGAAGCAGCCAAGGCGTTCGTTCCCGGATTCCCAAGAAGCGTCATGATCGGTACTGTTTCCGAATGATGTCAACCAAGGAGGAGGCTGTCGGTCAACCTAGCCGCTGTCCCCTGGTTATCAGTTGGTTCGTCGCAGCGCCTGTGTCGCTCGTATCTGCATGTTTTGATCGCTGCCCCACTTGGTGTTTTCGAGATGTGCAAGCCGTGGGTCGAAATGTGAATGCCCATGTTCTTCGGGGAATTGTGTCCATGCAAGCCTCTGACCTCGCATGTGTCCGTCACGTACCCGACATCATGCAGTCCTTGTCCTGGAGAGGTGTCTTGCCTTTGGTAGCCCACTTGGCCGCCGAGCTGTTTGAATCTGTGGCTCGCCATGTCTCGCGCAGGTTATGTCATGTCTATAGCAGATTTGCATGTTCGTTTTGTGCCTGAACCCGACGTGATGCTCAACATGGTCAAGCGTTGAGAATAAACGCTCAGATACTCACAACTACACCAGTCGATAACGTGATGAGGGGAATCACTTGGATGTAGATGAAGCGAAGGACGAATGGACAAGCGACAACACATATGGTGAAAATCGAACCAAACTGTAGAATCCATCTCCAGGTTGGATTGTCGAGAGATGGACAGATAATAATAGCAAGTCATACAAGACAACGGAAAAACATGCCGCTGTGGACCTTGGCTGTTCATGAAGCTACCCCTCCTTTGTCGAGACAAGCCAACGTCAAGAAACATTCCCAGCCACAAAGCACGAGTAATCTCACACAACAGCAATGTCTAACCTCATGAAGGCCGTCGGTAAGTCGTCCCGATCCACCCCCCGGCAACCGCCCGCTAACAGCAGCACCCGGTCCCGACGCCCAGACATCCGGGGCGGCAAGGGCCCGGCCTCGGCCCTCTTCATCAACCCGCAGACCCCGCGGCCCACGCCGGGCCCGGGCCAGGCGCTGGTCAAGGTGGCCGCCTTCGGGCTCAACCGCATGGACCTGCTGCAGCGCAACGGCAACTACCCGGTCCCGCCCCAGGCCCCCGCCACCCTCGGCGTCGAGTTCAGCGGCACCATCGAGTCGCTCGGCCCCCCCGCCGCCGCCGGCGATGACAACAACAACAGCGACGATGAGCTCAAAGCCGGCGACGCCGTCTTCGGCCTGGCCTACGGCGGCGCCTACGCCGAGTACGTCGCTGTCGCCACGCGCATGCTGCTGCGCAAGCCGCCCCACCTGACCTTTGAGCAGGCCGCCGGCGTGCCCGAGACGTGGATTACGGCCACGCAGGCCCTCTTCATCGTCGGCGGCAACGGCGGCTTCCAGCCCGGCCAGTCGGTGCTGTGGCACGCGGGCGCGTCGGGTGTGTCCATCGCGGGCGCGCAGCTGGCCCGCCGCGCCGGCGCGTCCGCCGTCTACGCCACGGCCGGGTCCGACGACAAGTGCGCCTTTGCGGCGCGCGAGCTGCGCGCCGACGCCGCCTTCAACTACAAGACGCAGGACTGGGCCGCCGAGGTGCTGCGGGCCACGGCGGGGAGGGGCGTCGACCGCATCGTCGACTTTGTGGGCGCGGACTACTTCCAGAAGAACCTGGACGCCGCCGCGCCCGAGGGCTGCGTCGTGTGCCTCGGCCTGCTGAGCGGGCCCGTCGTCAAGGACCTCAACATGGCGCAGCTGCTTTACAAGCGCCTGCGCGTCGAGGGCAGCACCCTGAGGGCCCGCGACGTCGCGTACCAGGGCGGGCTGCGCGACAAGCTGGAGGAGTACCTGCCCGACTTTGAGTCTGGGAAGCTCAAGGTGTTTGTTGACAAGGTCTTCCCTTGGGAGCAGATCCAGCAGGCTCATGAGCTTCTTGAGAAAAATGTCACTAGGGGCAAGATCATCTGCACCATCTCGTGAGATTACGCGCATGTAATTCTGAAATCCAGGATAATGCTCTTACATCGTAAAAGAAAACTCGCGTTGGTCATGTCGCAAAGTGTGTTTATCGACCAGCTGGACTAAACAAGCGAACTTGACCAATCCACAAAATAACCATTATCCACGCCATGAAACGCCCCATGCTAGTTTTGTCGTGCCCAATCTAGTGCTGCTTGAACCATTTCAGCATCTGCTCATACGCCGTCTCCTGCGCTGTCTTGATGCCGGCGTTGTCATACTCGCCAACGACGGCGAAACCTGTGCAAATGACGTCAGAGGTGGCCTGTTCTCAACAAGACGGCATCGCGGGCACTCACCGTGGGGCACGCCAGGGTACACCTGGACCTCGTGCTCGACGTTGTTCTTGGAAAACGAGTCCTCGAGCGCCGTCCGCATGTCGTCGGGGAACAGCGGGTCGCTCTCGACGCAGACCAGGCTCAGCGGCGCCTTGACGCCGGCAAAGTCGTCCGTGGCCACCATGGACGGGTGTGCGAGCGCGCCGACCTTGATGTGGGGGCCGTCCGTCTTGGGGCCCGACTCCTCGTCCGCCGGCCCCTGCAGCTGGCGCTCGGCCGCGAGCAGGATGACGTAGCGCCCGCCGAAGCAGTACCCGGCGGCGTAGATGCCGCCGCCGTTGGAGATGGCGTCGGCGAACTCGCCCTTTGCCGCGTCCAGCACCTTGCGCAGGGTCGGCATCACTTTCTCCTCTGTGTGGCGCGCGATCCACATATCGATCATGAAGCTCTTGGCCGTCTCGACCGCCTTGAGCTTGATCTGGTCCAGCAGCGTCAGCCCGTCCTCGGGCGCCGCCGCCGAGTTGGGGAAGGCGTCGCCCTCGAACAGGTCGGGCATCACCACCACGAAGCCCTCGCTCGCGAACCTGTCGGCCTGGATCTGGTTATTGGCCGACTTGAAGCCCGTGCCGCCGGTCAGGAGCAGCAGCAGCTTCGCCGGCGCGTGCGGGTAGTCGGCTGGCTTCGAGACGTACACGTCGACCCCGCCCAGCTTCCTGGTCTCGCCCGATCCGGACTGGCCCGCGGCTGCAGCGCGACGCGCCGTTAGCAAACCGGCCGACCTTGCGACATCACGGCACGGGGGGTTGGTCGGGGAGACGAACGAGTTGGCCTGTCCGAGACGCAGTGCTCGCCCATCGCCGGGCCCGTTGGCGCAGGGGTGTCATCGGGGACCACCGGCTCCGTCGCGCTGGTCGGAGCGGCGGCATCGCTCTCGGGAGCTCTGGTTGCAAGATCCGCGTCGGCCATTGTGATGATATTTGTGGCTCAGATGCGCGATGATCCAACTCCCGTGAGATATCGACGAATCAAAGCACGTCGACACCTGTTGCAAGGTTTCTGGGCAGATAAGCCAGCGTAGCTCGCTATCTGGGAGAGGTATCGGGCGAGAGAAATAGAGAATAGCAAGGCAAGCCTAGAACCAAACCAAACGTATTTGGATACAGCCAGCGTCCAGAGGTACGTCGCAAGAGATTGGTATTGAAGTCCCCCTTTGTCCATCCATGGTCCAGTCTCGAATGATGAGAGCTGCAGCTCTGGCCAGGTGGAGCCATCCTCCCTGCGCCCCTTGGTGACGTGCCCCGCCTTGTGACGCCAGGTGGGGTGGGAGCTTCCCTGCGCTAGCGGCAGGTCACGCTTGTCACTGTCGCAGCCTTCATTTGTATCACGAACCGCTGTGGTTTCGCTCACAGGTACCGTCACTGTCGTCTCTTACGGTTTGGGGATGTGATTTGATCAATAACAGTTGTAGTGAGCTCATGATGCCTTTGCAGTTAACCTCGAACGGTCTTGTAGCGCACAACGGGCGGCCAGCTACCATGTAGGAAGTGTAATTAGTAGAGTCTACCGGGAAAAAGAAGCCTCTGATGAGGAATCTTGAAATGACAAAGTGATATCCAATGTGTGCTCAACCTCAAAGCCTTCCTGCCTAATGGCGAGGCGGGCGAGCCAGCCGACGCGAAACTTGCACATTACATAATCATGGTAGGCAGCAACCACAGCTGGGTAGGCAGCAACCACGGCTGGGGCGACAGAACCCCGCTCATGAATTAGTCGGTAAGTGACGCGGTTTTACGACGCGTCTCTCCAACCTCGTCGCATCCGAGTTTCGCCCCAACGAGATCTCTGCCACGCTTGCTATCGCAAAGCGTCCAACACGACCATCAGAGTCGTATCCTGTCCCCAGTGTCTTGACCGCCCCAGCCTGTACCTTGTCGTCACGAACAAAATGGCCGACGAAGCCCGCCGCCAGATAACGCGGGGCGCCATCCGGTGAGTTTCTCCCCCGCCAATATCTCCAGGCGCCTATTCCCCCATCCCTGGCTGCTGTCTCCCACGGTCAACTCGTATACCAACAGAAAACCCTTTAGTGCCATCTTCAACGATCCCGATGAAGCCAATGAGCGTTTCCCAGTGCCTGTCCTCCAATGTCTTCAGATCAAGCTTCTCGAGAACAAGCAGGCGAACCCCGATGCCCCCTTCCCCGAGCGGTATCGCGTAGTCCTCAGCGACATGGACAACTATATCCAGTGCATGCTGTCTACCCAAGCGAATCACATCATCCATGACAACCTCCTGTACAAGGGCAGCATCGTGCGAGTGCGTTCCTACTCGGCCAGCCAGCTCAAGGGCAGAAGCATTCTTGTGCTGCTCGATCTCGAGGTCATCGAGTCTCTCGGTATCTACGAGAAGCTTGGGGAGCCTACCAGTATCGAGGCCAAAGGGGAGCCGGCCACCAGCACCACCATCGGAGGAACCGGCTTCTACGGCGCCAAGCAGGAGCCCGAGATGGAGCCCGAGATGGAGCCCGAGCCCAAGCCCCAAGTACGCAACCAGATGCCGTCCCGGGCAGCTGGCAGCGGGGCAGGCGGCGGGGGCGGCGGGGGCGGCGGTCCGGCTAGCAACCCCAACGCTGTCATCTACCCCATAGAGTCGCTCTCTCCCTACCAGCATAAGTGGACCATCAAGGCCCGCGTCTCGAGCAAATCCGACATCCGGACGTGGCACAAGCCCAGCGGCGAGGGCAAGCTGTTCAGCGTTAACCTGCTAGACGAGACGGGCGAGATCAAGGCGACCGGTTTCAACAACGAGTGCGAAAAGTTCTACGACCTTCTGGAGGAGAACCAGGTCTACTACATCTCGAGCCCTTGTCGGGTCCAGATGGCCAAAAAACAGTTCACGAACCTGCCAAACGACTACGAAATGACCTTCGAGGATGGAACCCAAATCGAAAAGGCCGAGGATCAAAGCAATGTTCCCCAGGTCCGCTTCAACTTCTGCAATATCCAGGAGCTGCAGGAGGTCGAAAAGGACGCGACGGTCGATCTCATCGGTGTCCTCAAGGAGGCCGCTGACATCACCCAGATCGTGTCCAAGAACAGCGGCAAGAATTTTGACAAGCGTGAGCTGACCCTCGTTGACGACTCGGGCTACTCGGTCCGCATGACCATCTGGGGCAAGACGGCACTGGGATTTGATGCCAAGCCCGAGTCCGTCATCGCGTTCAAGGGCGCCAAGGTTGGCGATTTTGGCGGCCGCTCGCTCTCGCTGCTGTCCTCGGGCACCATGACCCTGGACCCGGACATCCCCGAGGCGCACCGGCTCAAGGGCTGGTACGACTCGTCCGGTAGGGACAACAGCTTTGCCACGCACAACACGGGCAGCCTGGGAGCCGCCACAGGGCGCAAGGACGAGCTCAAAACTGTCTCGCAGGTCAAGGACGAGGGCTTGGGCATGGAAACCGACACCTACTTCAATCTGAAGGCCACCATCGTTTTCATCCGCCAAGAGAACTTCTGCTATCCGGCTTGCATGAGCGCTACCTGCAGCAAGAAGGTTGTGGAGGATGGTGAGAACTGGCGCTGCGAGAAGTGCCAAATTTCCCACCCGCGCCCCGAGTACCGGTACATCATGTAAGTCGAGTCGCGATGCTGACGAGAGTAACCTGTCCCCTTTCATGTTTGCTGACGCAAAAAAAACAACAACAACGACAGGAGCGTCAATGTCAACGACCACACGGGGCAGCTGTGGGTCAGCTGTTTCGATGATGTCGGTCGTATCATCATGGGCAAGTCGGCAGACGAGCTGATGGCGTTGAAGGAGGAGGACGAGGAGAGTTTCACGCGAGCGTTTGAGGCTGCCAACTGCCGAAGGCTGAGCTTCAGGTGTCGGGCAAAGATGGACACCTTTGGCGAAGTGCAACGGTGAGTCCTTTCTGGTTTGGGTGACCGCCGGACGTCAGAAGAGGGGTGTTTGCTAACAAATTATGCTTCAACAGGGTGCGCTACCAGGTCATGAGCGCCGCCCCCATGGACTGGAAGGGAGAGGCCGCCAGGCTCACGGAGATGATCAAGCAATTCGAAATTTGAGGCGGCGATGTGCTGTTGCACGTTGTCCATCCTTCCTGTATGTACCCTGTCGGGATCTGGACCAGACTCTGCCGTCGGCATCATCTTTGTATGCTGTTGGCGTGACGGGCAGCACGGGATTGCTCCGTTGACCTGGGCGGGCTGCTTTACGCTTGTCATAATGGTACTAATAGTAAAAGCGGCGAGTGCTCGAGAAGAAAAAAAGGTTGGCTGGGTCACGCATGGAATATGACACGGAAGGAAACCGATGAAGCACGAGGGCTTCACGTCTATTACGAGGCTGGCTAGATGCGGTGCGCACATGACACAAATGAGACCTCTTGAGCTCCACAGTCTAAACATGGCGACCTCGGGCTACTAGCTCGGGCAATCAATGTATCGCTTTGCTGTGCAGGCATTGACGCGAAAAGAGAAAGAACAAGACACTGCCTCTATGGACGCCACGTAATCCCATCCTGTATTTAAGAGGCGGGCACAATTAGGTCTCCACCTTGGACTGGCTAGAGTGCCGTGCCTTTTTAGCACTGTCGTCACCGTTGCCATGACTGTGCAATCAAAAAAAGGATGCCTCCCAAAAAGTCGGCATGTCTAATTAGGTCTACTTGCTCTGGCTGGCCGGTGCAGCAGCTCCTGCACTAGCGCAGGGCAGGTGACGCCCGTCGTCTCGGGCGCCCTTGGGCGTCTGCAGCGGGTTTCGCACCGAGGGAGGCTGCTCCCATCAGAGGTTGCCGGGGGTCATCTCCGACATGATGTCCTCGTCCTCCATGGCGTTGAAGTCGAAGCAGGTGTCCTTGGTGTCCTTGTCGCGCTTCTGATCCTTGATGGCCAGGCGGATGAACTCCTTGCTGGTGGCCAGCCTCTCCTTGGTTGCCCTGTACTCGAGCGAGAGCCGGTTGATGCGCTCGGCCGCGTGCTGGATCTGGCTGGCCAGCTCGTGCTCGGGTCTGTTGTCGTCGCCGTTTAGAAACACGAGGCACGGGACGCCAGCGCCGCCGCCTGAGATGGGCGGCTCGATGGCGGCCTGCAGCATGCCCGAGGCCACCATGCTCTCGATCAGCGCCGCCAACTCGGCGTCGCTCGCGGCCGGCTCGCCCGTGACGGCGCTCTTGGTCCGCTCGCGCACCTCGGACAGCGAGATCCTGGCGTAGACGTCACGCAACCTGACGATCTGCCACTTCTGGTGGGACTGGAGCACCTCGCGAACCAGGCCCTCGTTGCCGTCCTCGACGAGCTGGGCCTGCGACGCCTCGACGCAGCGCCGGAGGGCGGCGCCGTTGCCCGAGCCCAGGAACTCCTCGGCGATGTGGACGTAGGGGAGCGCCAGGAGCGCGTGGGCCTTAGCCACGCGCTCGCTGGCGTGCGGCGGCGCGGGGCCCGACACGCGGCCCTCGTCCAGCAGGCTGACGAGCACCCACTTCTTGAACGCCTCGACCATGGCGCGGCTAATGCCAGCGTCGCGGCAGGGATGCGAGGCGGCGCGGCCAAACGCCTCCCTGGCGCCGCTCCAGTCGCGCCGCGAGCACCGGGACAGCCCTACGAGCCAGTCATACTCGATCACCTGCAGCGGCGTCAGGCGCGTCGTCAGGCCCGTGTCCTTGGTGACGTAGGACGAGGGGGGAAGGTTCGGGTCGCAGAGCATGATGGTGCGCGGGTCCGGCTGGTTAACCATGTTGGGGTAGTAGATTATGCTCTTGTCGGTGACGGCGACGGTGGGCTCCGTGACCTCGCTAAAGTAGGCCAGCCCCATCAACATCAGGTGGTTCGACGTGAGCATCGAGCCCGAAGGGTCGACTCTTAATAGAGCATTTGCCAGCAGCGGGACGGCAACCGGGGCCTGAGGAAACGGCGTTCAGGTCAGTTTATGATGAGCTTGTTTGCGCGCGCCTCGCCTCGTCCTCTCCCGCACCAGCCATCAACTCTTACCGGCATTATCTGACCACTACTAACGGTGGTGAACAGGGTCGTAAAAGGCACGCCATAGTAGCGGATCTGGATGGGATCGAAGCGGCAGAGGAACAAGATTATGCGCTCGGCCAGGCCCTCATCGTACTGGTACGGTGACTGCCTCAGGTCTGTAGGCGTAGGCAGCAGGCAGTCGAGGATGGCGAGGTAGGATATTGAGTGGACTTGCGGGTTGAGACACTGGCAGGTCGCGGGCTGAGGTTAGCAAAAGGTGTGTGGGGGAGACACCACACGGGCAGAGGGCACGCACGTCGAGCAGGCTCTGGGCGTTGGCGGCGATGGCAGGGCCCTGGTCCTTGAACAGCTGGTTTATCTTGGCGATATGGGTCTTTGCGGCCTTGTTATAGGCAGCATGGTCGGCCAGGACGTCCTCTGGCGGGAACGCCAGCAGCACCGAGGCGCAGTGATCCATGGTGGACGGCAGCTGGGCCTGCCTGCGGGGGGTGGTCGGTCGGGCTGGGTTGAGGGAGGTGTGGCAGGCGGTGGTTTGGAGGGGCGCAAGCGTCGTGAGCTTGTCAGCGGCGGCAGTGCGGTTCTATGACGGAATTGCCGGCATGCTCGTCGAAGCGTCCCTCTTGTGTACTGGCCTGGTTTCCTTCTACTGCCGCACCAGGAGGACGGACTCTCATCGGGGTGTTTGGTGTCCGACTCGGAGTGCTTTTGGGTTGCGGTGCGGGCAGCCGAGCTCAACTCACAGGCAGCGGCACGTTGCGGTCGCCAACAAGCAGTTGAGCTCATCTACGCGCGCCTTCCCCCACCAACCAGCCAGCCATAGCTCAAACATCCCCGCTTTTCTAGGGCTGTCCAACGGCTGCTGATCAGCACCCTCATGATTCATGATTGGTACACATAACTAACAAATGTTGGTCACAACAGATCCGTGAAGACCAAGAAATGTAAGAAATGGGGAAACAGAGAAATTGAATATGAGGAAAGATATATGAAGCACATCATGTTCTGCCATGAAGAGGGGTGTCAACAACAACTGCTGGGGGTTCTGATTGATGGGGTGACTTGCAGGAGGGCAGCCACACGCCCAACTTCAAATGCTGGGCAATCAGCCACAGCGACCAATCCATATCGGTGGCTTGGGACTTATATCTCAACTATTGGATTACATTTACATCAATGGAATGGGTACACATTCCAGCCCTCAAACCCTAGACTCTCAGTGATCCATGCTATGTATGGATGATATAGGATCCTAGCATGAGCTAAATTCTCGGTCGACCTGCCTACAGATACACTCCTCTCAGAATGGGCCATGGCACATCGTTTTCGTTACCGAGCTGTCCACCTTTACGACTTGGGAAAGCATGTTTCGTGATGAGAGCTTGCGCCAAAAAATCTCACTCTTACCTTTAGCGGCAAAGCCGCAAGCCTTGGGACCCGCAAAGAAGACGGTGGCTTGATTCAGGGCGTTTGCGACCTCACTGTGAACAGTTTCACTTACGGCAGAATCAGACAGCACTGGCGGCGCAGGGCGGAAAGTGGAGAGTGTGTTGCCTATAGCAGGAGGAGTATCCTCAGTGTAAGGAGGCCTCTATAGCCATCCGAGCGATACTCCTGACAATGACGACAAGAAGGAAAAGGGAAACCATCGCTGTTCTGCCCTCTGGTCATCCTCCGTGCGAGTTCCCCCTCTGCCAACACCTGAGGCTGTATCCGGATAACTAATCCAACAAAGGCCGGTTCTGTGATATTCTGTGAAGCGACAAGGGGTCGAGAAAACGGCAGAGAAGAGACTGAGGGGCAGCGGAAGGATCTAGTAGAGCAAGCAAAGCAGAGCAGTAGAGTGGGGTTGAGTCCAAGAAGCATCGCGATTTCGCCAAGATCTTGAGCAGCGTAGTCATGACCCGATTCTCGCCTCGACACTGGAATAACGCCCTTGGCATATTGCCACAAGAAGGGAGGAGAGTGTCTTTTTATCTACCTGCCGTCCGTCATGTCCGCTGTGAATCGGATGTGCTGTTAGAGGTGACGGCCCCAGCGTTCCGGGCGAGCCATTTGTTGCGCTTGGAGCCGCTGCCGCCAGACGCCTCATATATGTTCTTCCTTTTTCATTGGTTTTCAACTTTTTTTTCTTGTGTCATTCTTTACTAGTCATGTATTGGTCTATATTTGTAGAGGCACAAGATGGAAGAGTCGGTAGAGCGCGCGGCGGCCGGCTGAGAGCGAACCTAGTTCCCCTCGTTGGGGCTGGTCAGCTTGGCGCCGCTGCCGAGGCCGCGGCTGGAGTCGGTGCTGCCCGAGGACTCGGGCGAAGACTGCAGGGCGCCGAACATGTTGGGGGTTGCGAGGCGGCCGCGGTGCTCGGGCGTCTGCTGGCTACGGGCACGGGCACGGGCACGACCAGAGGTCACTTCGGCGGCGTGGGGGACAGGCGAGCCCACGGCGCCCCAGTGGGCGCCGGGGCCGCTGCTGCTGCTGCTTTCACGACCAGCAATGTCTGCTTCTGGTTTATAATAATAGTCTAATGGTTATTATACATTTCTGGGGCATCCCGAGCGCGCGGCTCCCTGGCCCGAGGCAAGGATCCACCAAAGGAGGGATGGATCACCACCAAGGGGACTTACGGGCCGGGGCCGGGGCCGGGAAGGCAGGGAAGCCGACGGCGTCGCGGCCGATGTGGCCGATGTGGCCGATGGGGGCCTGGGCGGCGCGGGGCGGGACGGGGGCGGCCTCGACCTGGCGGCGCCAGGGCATCTCGCGGACCAGCTGCTGGCGGTCGGCGGGGGCGGCCACGGTCACCATCTGGCCGTACTGGGCCACGTGCGCGCCCGCGTGGGGAGGAGGCGACACGAAGTCCCTCACGCCGCCGAGGGCGCGGCTGCCCATGACGAGCGTCTGCTCGCTGCCGCCGCCACCGACGACGACCTCCTGGGCGCCCATGATGGCGCCTGCACCCTGCGGCGGCGAGGCGATCTGCTGCAGCTCCGCCTGGTGGCGGCGCCACCACGACGGGAAGCCCTGGAACAGGCCCAGAGAGACCTGCGTGGCCCTGTCGTAGGGCATTTCGTGTTTGTACCTGCACCCCTGCTGGGTGAAGGCACACACGCCGTCGTGCACCCATTTGTCGCAAAAGACCTTGACCTTCTTCTTTTTGGTCTCTGGCTGGCTGGCCACAATGTCGTCGATGCGAGACTAGACGTGGATTCTTGCGTTAGCTACCGTCCTTTGAAGACGCCTCTTTTATAGTATGACGGAGCAGAATCGAGCCTTCTAGCCCTTGTGGGTCAAGAACAGCTGATCTGCCAGTTGATTGGGCAGTGGGTTATATTGTTGGGGATGGGGGCCAACGCGAGGCCGTTGACGTCTCAACGTCCGACGAGCGTGGCTGGGCGCCAACAAAGGTTAAGGATGGGAAGAGTGCCAACAAAAGAACTAGGAAACTGAAATATACCTGAACATTGTCGGGCGAGCCGGGAGACGAAGAGGTGGAGGAGTCATGCTGCCACAGAGAATGTGAGTGTCAGGTTAGACAAGTCTTGTTCTTGTAAAGTCCGTTATGTCTTATAGTTATGTGTCGAGTGGCCACCAGGATGGAAAAAAATGAGGACAGACAAGTATGCGATAGAAAGAGGGCAGAAGAGACACCACTATATGACAAGGAGGGTGTGTGCCACCATGCCCAGCGGCAGAGAGTGAGTTCCTCTGGATGCCGGCGGCCGAGTAGCCTCTGTATCCTGTGAGGCAAGAAGATAGGCATATGCTCTCCACTTGGCAGAGCAGATGGAATGTAGACTTGGAGGAAAAAGAGATAGGGCATGTAGGAAGGGAGTGTGCCGCCATCTCCAGCGGCAGAGAGTGTTCTTCTGGATACAAACCAAGCAGTTTCTGAATCGGTGAGGCAAGGGAATAGGCAGGATAGGGATATGCTCGCCACTTGGCAGAGTTGATGGGCTACGTGGATAACAAAGAAATCATGGGGAAGACTTACATCTTTAGCAGCAGGGGTGGCCTTGACAATAGTCGAAGCAACGAGAGGAGCGGCAGTCTCGACAGGGTGAAGGTAGACAGAGCGTCCAGTGCGTCCAGCGGCAGGCGGAACAGGGAGGATGGTCATGTCAGAGCTGGCTACCTGAATGGCAGGGACATCAACCAGAGGCGGAAGCATGTCGGCCGGGATGAGCTTGGTGCAGCGACCGTGGCCGCGATCGAGGTAGTAGTCGCCCTTGTTGTTGCGGAAGACCTGCTTGACGTGACGGCGCTCGGTCTGGATGCCAAAGGTGGGCTCCTCATCATCGTCGTTGGCATTGTAGATGTCGTCGTCGCCGCTGGCGGTCGACTTCTCATGCTTGGCGTTAAGCTCGCGAATACCCGTGCCGCCCTTGGCCTTGAAGGCATCGTAGACGAGCTCATTGCCGGCAGTTGGCTTATCATGCTCGGCGCGCGGCTCACGCATGCCCACGCCGCCCTTGACCTTGAAGGCATCATGGTGGAGGTTGCCAGTGGTAGTTGACTTGCCATGCTCGGTGTGCAGGTCACGCATGCCCGCGCCACCCTGGGCCCTGAAAGAGCTGTGGAGCTGGTCGCCAGTGACAGCTGACTTGTCATGCTCAGCGCGCGGCTCGCGCATGTTCGCACCGCTCTTGGTCATGAAGGCGTCGTGGCGGAGGTCGTTGTTGGTGATCGAGTTATCATGCTGGGGGTGAAGCTCACGGATACCCGAACCGCCCTTGGTCATGAAGGCGTCAAAGACGAAGTCATTGCTGGCAGATGAAGTTGACTTGTCATCATGCTCAACGCGCAGGTCACGCATGTCCGCGCCGCCGCCGCCCTGGGCCTTGTAGGCGTCGTAGAGCTGGTCGCCGACAGGCATCTTGTCCTCGTTCTCCAGTTGATGCGGTAGGGGCCTCTTTGAGAAGGAAGACGAAGTAGGGTTGTTTTGGGGCAGGTCTTGGGGATGGTCTTGATGAAGGGACGCGTCTGCTTGATGACGAGGTAGAGACGTTGCGTTTGGAGATGGGGAAGGCCAGCTGTTGACGCTCGGCGAGGATGGAGTTGTGGCAGAGAGATGCAGAGCTAGTATGGACGAGGTGCGCGAAGGAGATATTGGATCAGGGAACTTGGAAGCACAGTCTGCGGGCTGGTTGACGTTGCGCGTTGTGGACGAGGACGGCGAAGCAATATCAATCTGGCTCGCGTTGTGTGTTGAAGAGTGTGGGTGGGTGTAGGGTTTTGCCGGGAGAAGCGAAGAATGGTGGCCAGATATAGGGCTCCGAAACCCTGCCAGTTGCTCCTGCTCTTTCTGGTCGGCCGGAGCTTTCGAGGGAAGGGCGGTAGAGCTCGCCAGAGCCTCTGCAGTGTAGGTATGTCCAGTATCAGTCAGGCTCAGCCCTGGGCGACCGCCCTCCTTGGCCCGAGCACCCTCCGGCAACTGGGTCCGAACCCCTCCATGGCCAACCTCCACACCAGGGCCGTCCCCCGAGGCCTTGCAGTCTTGTACTAGAGTCTGCTTCATGTTGTTCTCGATCGGGGAGATGTGCGTTGATGTAGTTGTTCCGTGTAAGCCAGCCTGCTTTTGAACCTCCTCTGTATTCAACTTGATATCAGCGTCGACGCGACCGTCCGAGAGTCCCTCACAACCGCCCACGCCGGCGTCACCACCGCCACATGACTGTGCAAGAGAAACAGCGCTGTCCACGCTACAACCGTCACCCGGCCACCGAGGACCGTCGACAAGCTTACCCCAGCCTTGCGCCCGACGCTGAAGGCCGTCCAGGCCGAAGAGAGTCGAGGATTGCAAGCCTGCCGCGGAGCCGCCGCGGGGGAACGCGCTCAAGTTCATGCCCAGGGCCCCGCCATGGACGTACTCGCTCCTGGGCACGTAGCTATAGTGCTGGGGATGATGAACTGTCGACAGGTGTTGGGGCTTGCCCCTGGCGCTCCGGCCTAGTCCCTGGAAAGAATTCGCCGCCGCAGTTACACCTTGCTCTTGACTGCCTCGAGTCCGATCCATGTTGCCGCCGCCACTTGATTTCCAGTCAGCGTGAGGGCAAAGAGGCTTTGGTGAGTGACTGATGTCGGGTTCTATTTCTGCTAACGGAAGCGCGGGCCAGAGGACAACTCTCTGAGCAGATCTAGTATAGGGATGATATGCCTCGCACCTCTATCAAGCTGAGAGCTCTATGAACAGCCGGCGCCACGAGAGCTTCTGACTGAGACCTTGGTCTGTGTTAACGGGAAGGCGGGCCAGGGGAAACTCTCTCGGAAGGCTGGTAACGGGGAAGATTCGGTCTTGGGCCTTGGGCCAAGTATAAGGCTGTGCGGATAGCCGAGCGTCGCGAACAGATTCGAAGAGACCCCCTTGGCTGAAGCCGGGACTATCTGCTAACGTACAAGTGGGTTAGGAACAGCGCCATCGTGAGCTTCAGGACAGGGAGGATCCAGCTTCTTACCTTCGTCGAGTAAAAAGCTGTACGGACAGCCAAGCGCTGCGAGGAGATTCGGAGATCGCCCCTGGCGGAAGCTGGGACAGGCGAGGATATGAGTACCGAGCAAGCCGTGAGACCGAGCACGAGAAGGACTCGGTCTCGTACCTCTATCGAGTATAAAGCTGCGTCTCGGGTCAGGCGTCATAAGATGATTCGGAAGGGGGCGCCTATTGGTAGAGGCCGCGACAGATGGAAAGACGAACGTATGATATCGGAAAACAACAGAGAAGCAGCACCGCGAAGAAGATCAGGCGAGTGAGAAATCAAAAGGCGATGTGCCTATGTCCCAGGAGGAAAGAAGACGAAGAAAACCCGATGACGAGAAGCGAGGAAACGAGTATAAGAGGATATCAAAGAGTAAAAAAAGGAGATGACCAGGAGCAAGAGAAACGACTGGCAAACCAAGCAGAAGGGGCGGGGGAAACCACACACAAGCACGCAACGCACGCACGCACGCATACATGCATGCACACAACGCTCTCTCAGATGGGCAAGCGAGCCGGCTCGGGAACCGGCCGAGCTGCAAGCACGCGAGGGGAGGTCGGCCAACGCTTTCCTTCTTTTTTCCTTCCGAGGCGTCTAGAAAACCGAGCTCGTCCCCGCTACCAAACGGCGGGCGGTGGCTGGCTGCCGGGAGGGGGGGAGAGGGAGGGGACTGTGGGATACGGCGTGGCGTCAGGGGATGGATAGCTGCCCGCCCGCCGCCCCTAGAAGAAACAGAAAAGTCGGGAGCAGCAACCCGCGCGGTCTGACGCCTGCAGCCGGGGAGCGGCGTCGGCGCCGGTCGAGGATGTCAGCGAGACAAGAGGATGCGGGAGGGTATGGAGGGAGAGGGAGGAGGCGGTGGGGGAAAGGAGGGACTTGGACAAAACAACAGGGGAAGAAGGGGGACGGGTGAACCCACAAGAAACGAAAGATTCCGGACGTACGGGGAGGTCTTGACACACGGCAGCACCAGCACCAGCAACAGCAGCAACCGGCGATATTAGCAGCAGCAACAGCAACAACCACCGATATCAGCAGACGCAGCAGCAGCAGCAGCAGCACTCAAGCAGGCGGCGGTAGAAATTAGTAGCAACAAGATACTCTCGGACGGCTCTAGAGGATTGTCGGAGAAAAGCCTCCCCATGTGGGCGGGGGGACGACACGCGCCGCCCGGTTTGGGAAAAGCAAACGGAGCAGAGGAACAAAAAAAGTAGACACACACACACACACACACACAAAACACAACACAACACACACACAACACACACATGGGAAAAAGGAGGCCCGCTAACCCGTCATTTAAGGTTCTCTGCGTCAGATCGGCTGGCGGCAGCATTTCAACCTGGTGTCTCCCACGTGACAAAGACACGGCCTTAACCTGAAGGATGCCCGCCCTATCTTTTTCCTCTTGTTCTCGGTAGTATGTATTTGTATCAGGTGGAACATTGCTGGTGCAACAGCACCGCGGGCGGGGGCGGAGTGAGGGAGGGAGGGAGGGAAGGAGGGGGAGGGGACTCGCTGCCTCCAGTCGTCTCTGGCCTTGCCTTGAGAAGTTGGGCGGCCACAAGAAAAAAAAGCACGGAGCACACACTCACACAGGGGATGGGACAGTCAGGCAGCCGGAGAGACAGGGCGCCTGGGCCGCCTGCCCGCCCGCCAACCAGCCGGCCGGCCGGCCAGCCCAGCCAGGCACACACAGGGTGGACAGCATGTGCATAACAAGTCATCGATTAAGTAGATAGGGCATGTACCTCGCCGCCCGCGTCCGTCCATGTCGCAGAATATCCTCTCCGCAGCTTGCATCTATCTGCACGTCAGCTAAAGTTTCCATCCCTCTCTCCTCCCCCTTGGCCATGATTTGCATCCCGCCTGCATGCACAACGGGTGATATCTGCGGGAAGGGGAAAAAAAGTCTAGAAGAAAAAAAAAACAAGGCAAACAAACGCAGGTTCCCCCCTGTTTCTCTAAGATAAGTCTTGGTCTTTTTCGTTTATCGTGGCTCGTCCCGGGTAGATCGATATACCCTTTTCGGACTCGCGCGCAAACAAATAAAAGAAGGAGAAAAACACGCCCGGGTGAGACCCACTCACAAACAGCTCCGCCCGCGTGTGCGATCTGGCGGAGAGAGGTGCCGCCGGGCTGGGCGACTCGCTGCCCAAATGAAAATCTTTGTGTAATGTTGCAGGCAAAAACACGGCTGGTGAGGTGGACGTCGCGGCGGCGGGGTCAGTGTTATACAACAGGACTAAAAAACAGAGGCAGAGGATATTCATCATCGCAGGAGCAGAGCAGAAAAAGGCCAGGAAAATAGGGCATGGTATAATTCAGGTCCCCTTCTTGCTCGACTGCCTCATCTCCCGTAGCTTCGCTTTTAGTGCTTCCCGAGTCAGAATGTCTTGAGGGAGCGGCGACGCCCGAAGATTGTCGATCGCCATCCTGATGCTCATCTCGGACGATGGGTTAAAGGAGCAGCCTTTTGTTGGGTCGTGGCGGTGAAGACATTGTGCGCAGTGCGGTGGCAGCTGAGGCATGTACTGGGCCTGGGGTATATGCGGATGGGTCGGCACAACGCCCGGGTTGATTCCAGGACCGACGCTGTGGCCGACGTTGTTGCTACCCAGCACTGGTACTTGCGGCCGCAGCTGGGTTAGCCCTAAACCTATGCTGCCGAGTGCGTAGACGCCTTGGCCAGGAGCTTGCGGCTGGTTTGGTATGTGGCCGCGTTTTGGCTGCTGTTGAAAGGTTGGTAGGGCCGAGAGGTTGATTTGGATGCTTGGCGGCCCGGATTGGGAGACGGGCTGAGGGATCTGCTGCGGGACTTGTTGGGGCCTTGACTCCCGGCCGCGGCCCGAACCAAGGGGCGGCCGGCCACGCGGCCGGCCACGGGGCTTACGGACCGTGCCATTCGGCTGTGCTGGCTGTGCTGGCTGTGCCGGCTGTGCTGGCTGGCTGTAGTTGGGTACGCCGGCTGGGACACCGAGCCCGGACTGTATGGCGGTAGGGAATGCTGCACCGTTTGGTCCCGGCGCCTGCCCCTGGGTTGGGTTATTGCCTGGTAGATGGGGGTCGGGCGCTCCGCCGATAGAGTCTGGGTGGTGCTGGAGGGTGGCATCAAGTTCTGTGCATTTGTAGTATTGTCAGCTGGACTGCGGGACTGTTTTGATATTTCGCGGCCTGCTTGGCTTTGCAGTGAGTTAGGCGGCGACTTCGCCGTCTTATTTGTCTGGATTGCCGGCTTCGTCTGGACTCCCTTTGCGGAAGCAGTGGCAACCGCTCTGGCACTAGCAGTAGGCGCCCTGGGAGTAGCAGCAACAGCCTTGCCAGCAGCAGCAGCAGCCTTGGTGGCAGCAGCAGCACGGGCAGCAGCAGCAGCAGCCTTCACCTGAGCCCTATTCTCGGCCCGAATTTTGGTTGGTGATACTGCTGGTTTTGGTTGAGAAGCCGGGGACGACCGACTTCTAGTGACTCTAGAAGCGGTCTTTGGGGTCCTGGGGGCAGTGGGGGTCTTTGGGGCCTTGGAAGGCGTCCGAGCTTTTGCAGGCGTAGCCTTCTTCTCCTGCTGTCCCTTCTTTTTCGGAGAAAGATTCTTCTTAGGAGAGGTCGTACCTTGGTGTCCCTGTCCCGTCTTGCGAGCCGCGTTTTGCACATCCGACTCTATCCGTGCTTCGTCGTCGCTGGCTTCGTTGGCCACAAAGTCCTCGTCCTGCTCCGACTCGCTCTTGGGGCCCTCGTCGTCGAACTGCATGTGCTGCGAGTACTGGACGACCTGACGCCGCCTGCCTCCGCGCCCCAGCACCACCGCCTCCTTCTCCGCGCGGCGCTTGGCGTCCATCTCGCGCTCCATGAGCAGCTTTTCCCACACGTTCTCGCTTACGCTGGCGCCCTCTGCCAGCTCCAGGTCGTCGACCAGGCCGCCCTTGTCGTTGACCCAGACGCGAGCAAGAGTGAACTCTCGCTCGCGCTTGTCATCCTCACCGAGCTCTGCCGCGACGAGATGCGACCGGTCGAGCAGCTTCTCCACAGAGGCCTCGTCGTACTTGATAATTTCCTTTTCGTTGTCCTCGTTGAACAGCGCTTCCGCTCCATGCTTCAGAATGGATTCCAGATCATCCGACTCCACGTCCTGCTTGTCCATAGTTTCGATCATAACGTGATCGAGCGCCATCTTCTTGCGGCCCATTTGCATAATCTTCTCCTCGACCGAGCCTTTGGTCATGAGCTGGAAGCAAAGAACCTTTTTCGTCTGCCCAATGCGATGCGCCCGGGATAGCGCCTGAAGGTCTTGATGGGGGTTAAAGTCCGGGTCGAGGATGATGACTGTGTCGGCAGTCGCAAGGTTGATGCCCACGCCACCCGCACGGGTGGAAAGCAGAAACGCAAAGATCTCGGAGCCGGGCGCGTTGAAGTCGTCAATGCGATGCTGTCTCTCCAAGCTGGTCACGCTGCCATCCAGGCGCCGGTACTGGAATCCAAGACCATTCAAAAAGTCCTCGAGAATGCTCAGCTGGTCCAGGAACTGACTGAAGATTAGGACCCGGTGGCCGTTTTCCTTCAGCTTGGGTAGCATTATATTCAAAAGCACTAGTTTGGACGATGCCTCGACGAGGCCGGTCTGCATGGTTTTGGCATCCAGGTCGCGGTCCTCGATAGCGTCGCTGTACACGAAGGGATGACAGAGACATTTGCGGAGCTGCATGAGGATGTTGTTGAGCGAGCCACGCTCCGTCTTGCTCATCTTGCTCTTGGCGAAAATAGCCTGGATCAGCTGAGGGTTCTTGGCCATAATGGACTTGCACAGTTTCTCCTGCACCACCGACATGCTGACCGGCACAATGACCTGGCCCATGGGCGGCAGGAACTTGAGCACGTCGGCCTTTGTCCTCCGCAGGAAGTAGGGCTTGATGAGCGCGTGGAGCTCCGGGATGTTTTCGTTGGTCAGCTCGGCATATTCCTCGTCCATCTCCGCCGCCACCTTGCTGGTGTCGATAAACTGGATCAGGTTGAACAGCTCGCGCTTGTTGTTCTGGAGCGGCGTCCCGGTTAGGAGCAGGCGGAAAGGGACCTTCATGGCCCGCAGCGCGCCGTAGAGAATGCTCTGGTCGTTCTTGAGACGCTGCCCCTCATCAACCACTAGTCCCTGCCAGCGCACTTGGCGGAAGAGGTGCCGGGTCTGGGGGTCTTGGGCCGAGTCGTATGACATGATGACAACATGGGCCTTGATGTCCTTGGACCCGTCGGGGAAAAGCTCGTTCTTGTATGCGATTTCCTGCGGGACCTTGCCGCCAAAGTAGGTTACCACGCGCAGGTCTGGGACCCACTGCTTCATCTCGCGGCGCCAGTTCGGGCACGTGGAACTCGGGACGACGATCAGGAATGGCCAGCACTTGGGCTGCTGCAGCGAAAGGTAGCCCACCATGCCGCAAACCTGGATCGTCTTGCCCAGGCCCATCTCGTCGGCAAGGATAACGCTCTCCATCTTGTAGAAGTGCCATACCAGCCAGTTTACGCCTTCCACTTGGTACTTCATCAGCCGGCGGGAGGATGTCAGGGCCTCGGGCTGCTCATCAATGTCCGGAGGCGGGTTTTTGCAGAAGGCGACGATGCGTTGGTTGATCAGCTGGGGCGAGACCGTATTGAAGAGCTTGCCGTTGATATATTCCACGTAAGCCTCCTTGAAAGTGTCCCATAGAGGCCTGTTGCTCCTGGACGGAGGCGAGTCCCAGACAACCTCATCGTACGACAGGCCCTGGAACTTGACGCGGACTTCCTTGACCTTGGAGATTTTTGCCAAGGCATCTTCCTTGGACACTATGCGATCGCTGCCGCTGTGATATCTGGCAGCAAAGATGATGTCTGCCATGAGATACTCGGCCGGTATCGCGTCGTCTTTGGTGAAGCGTGGGGGCGGCGGCTGACCGTCGTCGCGCCTGGAGAAGGCTGCCCGCATTGTCCCATGGCTGGCACCGAAAATCCACGCGCCTGGCATCCAGGTGCAGTGAGCGTGCGACATCTGGGCCCATTTGACGAGATATTCCTTGTCGTCCTCGCTGACGAGACCGTAGGACTCATTCTTGTACGAGTCGGGGTCGACAGGCCTCCATGCCACAAGCGACTGAATATCGTCGTTCTTGTGGACGAGGCAGTCCTTGCATGCGTGGTGCATTGAGTACTCGGATAAGCGGTCCGCGCGGATCTTGTCCTTATCGGTTGGGTCCTCGTCGGGCACGTTCTCCAGTCGAGGAAGATGCAGATAGTGGAACGCCCGCTTGCAGTGGGTGCAGCGGAAAAGCACATTCTCGTGGTTGTTGATGAGCTTGGCGGCGACTTTGGTAATGGGGTCTTCACCATTATTGGCAGTGCGGAGCTTCTCCTCCTGCTTGGACGTGAGCTTGGGGGTAAACTCGCGGCATGCCGGACCAACGGAGCGGCATTCCTGGCAAGTGTCGTGCTGTGGAGCCTTGCTGTCCTTCTTGGTGGCGAGGCCGATGCAGAAGCGGCATTGGAGCACGAAATGGTCCGTCCCGACCTTGCTCACACGGTGATCTCTCATTCCTCGGTATCCCAGGCACACCTTGTGGAACGAGAACGAGCAGCCCTGGCAGTGAATCAACATGCCCTTGTTGTGGTTCGGTCCGCTGGATCCACAGGTGCCACAGGTCTTGGAGTGAGCGTCGACAAACTCCACACTATCCACCAGCTGGAATATCTCCTTGATACTGATGGCTTTCGGGACAGCTGGGACCTTGTCGTCCTCGATGTAGAACGAGTCATCATCCGCCGGATCAAGCATGGCCTTGGTAGTCCTGTTGGCCCTTCCCGACCGCCGCACTTCGAACTCGATCGATGCCTGCCTGTAGGTGACCCGCGATGGCCGACCGCGCTTTCGCTTGGGTTTTTGGGGGTTGATATCTGACCGGATGATGGGGATAAAGCTCTCGTCATCTTCATCTTCGCTTTCACGAGCCATGCTTTCTCCCGCGAGCTCATCCTCCTCATGGTCGACCGCCCGGTTTTGGCCGGTGCGTAGAGTGATTCGAGGACGCAGAGAGCGCTGTGCTGGGCGAGAGTGCTCCTTGGGCTCGGTGCCGGTCCGGGTGACACGCCTCGACGATCGTCGGGAGCTCACTTCAGCCCGGTATCCCCGCGACGATACTGATCTGCGTGCATGTCCGCGATCGTCATCATCATCATCATCATCATCATCATCGTCAAGGTCCATATCATCAGAGCCACCCTCGTTGTCATCATCTTCGTCAGGGAAGTCATCATAGCGAAGCTCGTCCGAGGAGTCATCGCGATGCGAGTGCTTGCGCTTCTTGTGAGGCCTGGCGGGCATGGTGCCGCCTACAGAATCGGCAGGATGCTGAAACAGCTCCAGCGCCTTGAGCCCGTTCTCCGAGGCGACAAGCTCGTCAAATGAAATCTTGGTAACTGGTTAGCTTGAAAGATGCCACAGAACAAGCAGGCGAGGGTGATATGTACTAAATGGAAGGATGAGAAGTTGATGCCTGGCCCTGAGCTGTGCCGTTCGCAGATCGCTTCGCAGTAATCCCAAGCGGCGGAGCAACCGCGGATGAGAGTAGGATGGGTGATGGGGATGTGATTTGTGAACTGATGAAGGATGAAGCAGTGAAGGCCAAGGAAAGGTGGGGTGGGCCAGACTTTGCAGTGGTCTACGGAACCAAGCGTGAAAGGTTAACTGCAAAGCGGAAGGCGCGGGAAGGCGCGACTTGTGAGCCTGAGGTGTTGGCGGTTACTCCTTGTGTGAAGCGGGTTCGAGTGCCAACTATCAGCTACCTCGGCATCCTTAGGAACGCAGTCGGAGGCTACAGTTTGGGTTCCGTTAAAGTGGGATCAGGAAGGACGAGAAAGGGCTCGGAGGACTTCCTTCAAAGCGCTAATCTCTGACAAGCCAGACGAGAAGCCAACCACCAACTTGGCAGGGGCCTCAGTATACGCCGTCCGGGGAACTACACTGGGGACTGAGGCACGAGGCAAGGCGTCGCAAGGTCACTGGAAATTTAGGGCTTACCTGGTCGATGGCGCCGTCGTCATATTCGATATGATACCATTCTTCACCACGCTCGCCTGCAATCTCGTTCACAATAGAGCGAACGTAGGTGCTCCGCGGCGCCACTCTGTACTCGTCGTGGAGATACGCCGGCAGTGGGGTGATGCGGATCTCCAGGCCGCCGGCTCCCCGGACCGGCTCCTTCCCTTTTGCGGCCTTTGAACGTGTCGCTGGGTACCAATCGTCGAAATCCGCCTCCTCATGCGCCCCCACTTCCTCCTTCTCCTCCTCTTCGTGCTCTATGTCAGGGGACGCATCATCGACCGTGACGCCATTAACGGCACTTCGGTTCGGAAGCTCGATGGATAGGAGAGGAGGAGGGTCGGCAGTCACGGCTGCAAGCTGGACGGCAGCGGGCTCGGTGTCGAGTGTGGATGCGGCCTCCGAGACCTCGGTCTCGGAGGCGGCGGGGCTTCCGGCCATGGTGCTGAGATGGGGCACTATGAAGCAAGATCGCGTCTAGTTGGCCATATCCTGGTGCTACGTCGATAGCAATCTATAGAGTGGGTGTGAGCTGGAGTTTTGCGACTCGAATTAGGATGGCGAGGGCGGCGATATGTGTTCGCGACGTGGGGGGTTGCAAAATATTGCGAGCCTAGCCAAAGTGACCTCCAGCAGACATCAAGGTTACGAGGCGCGCGTTGAACGCGCCCAAACTGTGGTTCAACATTGATGCGACGTAATTAATGGATTGCAGTGGGTCCGATGTCGTGCATTCTAGCGCCTGTGATTGGACGGAACCTCCCGAAGCCAGGGTGCTAGCAGTTGGAGGTGGGGCCGTTCTAGGTAGAACAACGTGAGCGATAGGGGACAGGCGCCGATAAGGACCCTGAAAAAAAAAACGGGGATGGAATGGGAAAAAAAAAAGTCTTGGACTTGACTGATGGATTTTTTTTCCCTTTACATATAGGCGCTGGCTGATAGATACACTCTCCTCAGCTGAGGACCTAATGCCATGATACCAGGTAGATTTTCATGTGCCTCTGGCTTGCGTGCTTTAACTTTCTCGCCACGGCCCCATCTCCTCGTGCAAGTTGGCACTCGCCCCTCGTCATCCCTCTCCGCTGTCCACCGCGGCTTGAGACAGTCCGAGCGGCTGGATCGCAAGAGCTACAGTGCCCAGCGTGGCTCTTCTGTCACCAGGGACGGCGATGCACGGCCGCCGAGAACGGGGAGGCCCCGGGCGGGTGTGAACGGCGACCGCTTCGAGAAGGTCGATTTCAAGATCCGGAAGGGGAAGAAGGATATCGCCGAGCCGCCCAAATTCAAACCGCAGTCACGCAGCGCCAGGTTTAATGATCCCACGAATTCCTTTGGCAAGAATAGCCTGGTGTATAAACTCAAGAGCGGACAGCTCAGAGACGAGCTGTCGGCCCTTCACAACAAGGATCTGAAAGCGGCGCAGACTGATGAGGATTTCTGGCGCAGCTCCAAGCGCGCGCCAACCTCAAGGTCGCGGAGCGTCCCGCCCAGCCGAGGAACAGCGAGGCCTTCACCCTCAGGGTCCTTTTGGGATCGCCGCGGTCGGGTGGGCTCTCGCATGCGTGGCGAGACCTCTTCAGCAGGCGATTTCAGGGATTATAGGCCAGCATCAGAGGGAGTTGGAAGACCAGCTATGGACGGCCGCGGCGATCGCACCCGGGACTCGGCAGGGGCTCGCAGTAGCGACGGTGACGCACCTCGCAGCCGCGACTTTGGCGCCCCTCGCAGCCGCGACGGTGACGCTCCTCGCAGCCGCGACTTTGGCGCCCCTCACAGCCGCGACGGTGACGCCCCTCGTAGCCGCGACGGTAACGCTCCTCGCAGCCGTGACTATGGCACCCCTCGCAGCCGGGACTCGGAAACTCCTCGCGGTCGTGAGGTTGACGCTCCGCGCCGTGGCGAGTATGACACACATCGCAGCCCCGAGTATGACGGCGCCCGCAGCCGCGATTCGGAAGCTCCTCGTGTTCGCGAAAATGGCGCTCCTCGCAGTCGCGAGTATGACAGCCCTCGCAGAAGCAAGTATGATGCCACCCGCAGACGAGAATATGGCACCCCCCAGAGTCGTGACGATGACGCTCCTCGCAGCCGCAAATACGACGCCCCTCGCAGCAGCGGCCATGACGCCCTTCGCAGCCGCGAATATGACACTCCCCGCAGTCATGAACGTGACGCTCCCCGCAGCCGAAGTGCGGAAGGGTATCGCACCGAAGACCATCAGAGGTTCGGAGATGACCCAGAGCCGATCGTGGCAACCATCAAGTACACTACCGCCGCCTCACAGTTTCTGTATGGCAAGTTTGTGGTGGAAGAAGCGCTGAGGGCGTCCCGGAGAAAGCTGTATCACCTTTACATCTATGGAGGCGCGAACCGCGAAAACGTCGGGCGGGACATGGCCATCGAGAGGCTGGCGGAGAAAAAGGGTGTCAAGGTGACGACGCTTGGGGAGCAGGATCAGAAGCTCATGGCCAAGATGAGCCAGGGCCGCCCTCACAACGGCTACATCTTGGAGGCATCGCCGATCCCACAGCCCCCGGTCACGGCACTCGGACCTTTGGTCACCGAGGAGAGCGAGAGCGGCGGCGTCAACAGCAACTCGTTCAGCATTGTGCTGGGGCACCAGACAGCCGAAGACCTGGCGATAAACGGCAAGGACACCACCGTCCATGCCCGCGGCGGCCAGCACAAGCCTCTCGTCCTTCTGCTCGACCACGTTCTCGACCCGGGCAACCTTGGAGCCATACTTCGGACGGCGAGCTTCCTCGGCGCGAGCGCGGTCGCCATCTCGACCAAGAGCTCGGCGACCTTGTCGCCCGTGGCGCTCAAGTCGTCAGCGGGGGCGTCGGAGAGCATTCCGCTCTTCGCGGTCGACTCGCCCGTCAGCTTCCTGGAAGGGTCCAAGGAGGCGGGCTGGAAGGTCTATGCGGCCGTGGCTGCACACTCGGGGTCACACCACCGCGAGCACGCCGACGTCTATAGCGTCGAGGAGGGCGACCCGCTCGCGTCCGACCCTTGCATTCTCGTCGTGGGCAGCGAGGGTGACGGGCTGCCGCGGATGCTCAAGGCCAAGGCCGACACGGAGATCAGCATCCCGAACCAGTCAGACTCGCTCACGGTGGATAGTCTGAACGTCAGTGTCGCCGCCGCCTTGCTCTGTTCGGCCTTCATGAGGGGGCGCAACCGGCTGGCAGCGCAGCGCCGGCCTGGCGGACCGGTCAAGAGTGAAGAGTTGGGGATATGGTCCTGATGGATGATGGATGTTGAGGCAACTCATTTTCGTATAGGGCCATCTGTCTGTAGGATAAAATGTACTGCAATGTGGGCTATGATGCTCGGAGAAAATGGTTAGACGGCTCTTTACGGGAATACCACCACTATCTGTGATACAGCATTTCAAAGACTGTCGCATGCCACTGCCCTAAGTCCTGGGCCGTGAGAGGTACAGTCCCGTCAGTCCAGACTGACGTTGAGGTGTGGCTGGCAGGTGGGTCAACCACCAGGACTCGATCAATCCAACAGCCCGGGCGTTGATGCCGGGCCAAGTTAGATTGAGAATTGCATGCACAATGGGATCTTCCACCGCAAAAGAGGACAAACACCAAGGTACTAGAATGCCGATTGAACCTGCAGGACATGGTGTACATGTATGTTCATGCAGAAAATGATCAAATGCCACGTGGATGGCGACCATGGATTCTGATCCCCAATTTCAGGGGTTGATGGGGCGTGGACCCAACCAACCACCTCAAAAAAAGCCCACGCCCAGCCATCCTCGGCACCACAGGATCTCACAGGATCTCATGGGGGCCCAAGCACGCAGCGCCAGTCCGCGCACTCCTCTTGTATTTGACATGATGACGAGGCTGCACTTGTTGGAATACTCAAGCCATTGTTTTTCCCACAGCAACGCTCCTCCGAGGTCGTCCAAGACGTGCTGCGTGATTCACCGCCCACCACACCCGCCATCACCGAGTCGACACTCCCTTCCGTCGAGGTCGATGCCGACTTCCCCTGACCAGCGGTAGCGCCAGTCCCTCTCGAACTATCGAACCTACACCCTAGGGTGTGTTAGACGCCATGTGGCTCGCACGCTCGATATGCGCCCTTCCGGTGCCGCTGCTCCTGCTCGTCGACGCCGCAGTGGCCGCCGCCGCCGAGCAGCAGCAAGACAGTCAGCCGCTCCCGACAGCCATCCGGAAGATGGCCCCCGACCGGGGCGAGAAGTTCTTTCCGCACTACGTCGCCTTCCCGTACCTCCCTAGCGAAGACAACGCCCAGAGGCCTTTCGTCGCAGCAGATGGGGCACCGCCAAACCTCGTCGGACGAGCACGGCCAGCACTCCTAGGCCGAGACGCGGGCGAAGCAGCAGACGGACCCACAGACAAGAACAGAGCAGCAGCAGCAGCAGCGGCGGCGGCGGCGCAGAGTCCAGCGGAGCCCCGCTTCCGCCCAGCCTTCGCGGCGCACCTGGACTACCGCGCCCGCCTGAGCGGCGGCCAGGGGGGTGAGGGGGAGACGGAGGCGGAGAGGCTCTTCCGGCGGGCGGCGCGGGCGCTGGCGCGGCTCGAGCGGCGGCAGTGGGGCTGCCCGGCGGGCACCAAGAGCTGCACGACCATCAACCAGCCCAACGCCTGCTGCCGCGACGGCGAGACGTGCTACACCATCACCGACACGGGCCTCGGCTCCGTCGGCTGCTGCGCCAACGGCAGCACCTGCGGCGGCACCCTCAACAACTGCGCCCCCGGCGACACGGCCTGCCCCTCGGACCTGGGCGGCGGCTGCTGCATCGCCGGTTTCTCGTGCCAGGGCATAGGATGTATGTTGGCTCCCTGCCGTTCCCATGTTCCCATGTTCCCTCCCTCTTTTAAATCCCTGCTAACCAACGCCTGTTCTCCCTCTATCCAGGCGTCCGCCTCTCCACCACCTCCCGCACCCAGCCTCCCACAACCACGCCCACCCCCTCGTCGACGGCGCCTCCCCCGCCCCCGCCGCCCACCACATCGTCAGCCACGAGCAGCGCCGCCAGCAGCAGCACCACGCCGCAGCCCACGGCCACGCCGTCGACCACGGCGCGGACCACGGGCACCGACAGCGGCAACCTGCCCGTGCGGCCGACGGCGACCGAGTCGGACGGTTTCCCGCCGGGCTACTGCCCCACGGGCTTCTACCCGTGCGTGGCGCGCGCCGGCGGCGGCTGCTGCCAGACGGGCCGCGACTGCGCCACCGCCAG